TCCATATTTCTTTAAACCAATCTTCAAGCTCGTATTCAAAATCCACTTTCCATTTTTTAACTATTATTAATCTTAAGGCAGTCACAAAAATTATTATCATCTCTTTCTTTTGCCATTCTAATTTCATGTTTCCAAAATTTAACAGTAATGGAATTTTTGGACTTATTTGCAAATTAATAGATAATATTTCATTAATCTCAACAAAAGCCTTTTCCCATTTTTTTTTACCTTTTCACATTCCTACCATAAATGCAAATAAGTCCCAATTTCTTTTTTACACCTCCAACAATTTTTAAAAAATATTAATAAAAAAAAAAGTAACCAAGAGATTGGCTTGACTCAAAAGAGATTTTACATTATATAGCACAAGGTTGAACTCAACACAAGTACAGATCAATTATTTGCCTTCCTTATGGGGCCTATATGCTGTCAAAGGAACTATTTAACAAGAGAAGTGAAGCACAGGGATACTATGAAGAATTCATCCCTGGAGATTTCAGATAAATTTTTGATTGAATGAGTGGTGGTGTCTTAATCCATGAAGCAAAAATATGCCTTCTTGGATAGGGTGAGCAATACTTGTCCTTCCAGATTTTGTTATACTGCAACTCAGGATGGACATAGCAGTTAAAGCTTATGAGAGGGCAACCCAATCATTGCTGGAGGGCTGCACACTGTCAACCACCCACAAGTCCAGCTATCCTTCCCTCAGAATCCAGTTCTGAGCCCATGCACATTCACTTGGTGTACAGGGAAATATCAAAGTCAGAACTACAAGTACGAACTACTTGAGAGTTGCTATCACTTCCAAATAACCCCACCCTCTGAGCAAAACTGATGGATGCCAAGTAGACTGAGATGGAGTTTGAGATCTCTAGTGTAAAAAGTGTGAAAATCTCTTTTTCAGCCTTGATTTGCCTTAGTCTGCCCAGAACTCTAATCCTGCTTGATTTGATTTGTGAACATTGGCTTGATCCTTAACTACGTATTGTTCCTATCTTAGGGAATTGACTGTACTACTACTGTTATTTTGACCTCTAGAATGGATTATTTATTATCTTTGCTGTAAGTTTTTCATGTGTCCCAAATCTTGGCCTGCACTCTTTTGCCAGGCACCCTTAAGACCGGGACAGAGAGATCCCAGGTTTAAATTTTGGCCTCTCCTGGTAGGGCCCATCAGTGTTGACAGAAGGCAGCATTCAGTATCCCATCTTAATTTTGACAGAAAATGCATTGTGCAGGATTTCTGCTAGACCAAGGGATAAATCAGATTGTTCATAAATGTTTTCATTTACATCTTGCCTTTCTTCATCATGGCACAAGACAACTGACACAGATTCTCAGGTTGTCTTCAGTCCAGACACTGATCAGACCCAGACCACTGAACCTCACATCCATCTCAATATATGTGAAATTATATGTGGCAGACCAAATATTGTAAACTAAAAAGTAGTGAAATATGTGTGCCCAGGCTAGTTGCCCTTCAATATTAATCTTTTCAATTTTCTTTTTTCATATCCTTTTAACTCTTCATGGAACTCAAAAAACTAATTTGCTTAATCATGGTATAGACAATTGATTGAGTTCACATATATTAAGCTGTAAACCATGATTTCTAATGTACAGTGCCTGGGATCACCTAACCTATCAAGCCACATTATGGCTTAGCATAATGTTTGAACCTAGTTATACTGTCACAAAAACTCTGTCAACCCCCCTTATTACCATATTCTTCCCTACTGTTTTGTTTTCCCCCCTCTCAGTGGCAAATAGGTTAAACTATTTCAAGTTGTCTCAATGAATGAAATAAGCTCTTAGGTGAAAGAAATCAATAAAAGCACTCCTGTATGATATTATTTTCTTCATTTTCTTCAGGATTGACTTTCCCCAAGATGAATGGATGCTTCCATTCATATTGGCTAAACAAATGCACCAAACTGAAACATTGTCCTTGTCTCTTTTATAGCCACAAATGGTATTAATTCTTGGAAACAGAAAACTGGTGGTACTCCTGAATTCTGAGACAATATATCACATTTCTTCCACAGCTGAGTGCAATACTTGGAATCTGATGGTTTCCTTCAATAGCCAATAAGATTTCAGTTGATATCAGTCATGAAAATAGCCTATGTTTTGCCAGTGCTTCCATAATGTGTTCTTGATCCCCTAAAAAATATGGACCACAAAGCTACCCAAATTGCCATAAAGAATAAAATGTAGAATATCCTCTAAAAGGGTTTTTTGGAGGGCAGACTATATCAAAATGCTATGTTTCATCTAGTTGTTGGCTTCTCCTATGAATATTTTGTGGTGAGATCTCATTTTACCAAAGGAGTAAATAGATAGCAAGGTGTAATTAGTAAGCCACAAAATACGTCTTGACAAAGGGGTGTCTTAAAACGGCGTGGAATAAATACATTCATAAAATCTGGGTTGTTCGCATTTAATCCGATGATGGTACCTGATGTCAACCCTGAGCTGCGTGGGAATTCCATCATTTCCCTGGGAAGCCACCTATTGAAAGGGCTCTTGGCTGGGAGAGGCTGTTCCAGAGAAGAAAAGTCCCCAAAGGATGTTCTGCCTTAGGGGCCAAAATAACTAGGATTAGGCTGGTCAGAAAGAGCAGGCTAGCAGTTTTTGTTATTTCAGTCTTGGGCCAGTCCTATATGAGTTGGCTTCTCAGAGCTTTCACCAGGCCAGGTGGTAAGTTACAAGCTGCAATTCACTCTCTTCTCCCTATATAGGCGCCTCTAATTCTCTTCATAACATTGAAAAGGAATTGGTGCTGTGTGCAAAGGTTTGCGGAAAGGGGGAGGACTTGCACGTTGCTGGACTCCAACCACCTGGCATTACTGCTCGGATTATTAGTTCCTAGTAATTTAGTGCCCTTGCACAGGGTCGATTTGTGCCTTTCATTTCTAATTGATCTAGTGGCTGTTTAAATGGCAGCAGGCATCTGTTGAGAGTGGGAAGGTTCATAAGGCGAAATAATTCATAACACCGTCTGGAATTTGCCTTTCATATCCCTCAGCTAAGCCTCGGCAGGGCTGCCTAAATTACGACCAGAGCGGCTTCCCCCCACCCACTCCCACCTCCGTCTTCTGCTCATGGCTCGAAGAATCTTGCATTAAACTGGGATCAGTCTAGATTAGACTGTAATACGGCGCAGTATTAGTGGCTGCAAATGAAGACTTATATCAGAGTTTAACCCCTTCACCTGCTGTTCTCTTTGTCTTGATCCTAGAAGATTTGGCTAACCCACTGGTTCCTCTGATTTGTTGAGATGTAGAATAGAACTTTCAACTTGCCAGACTCTTGGAATAGCTTCACATCTAAGCATTCAAGACAACAACATTCAAGACAAAGATTTAAAGAAATGAAAACACACTTAGATTAAATAAAGAATGAGACTTACGTACCTTAGCAAAATGGACATAATAGGTTTTTTTTTTTTCATTCCAATTCCCCACATGTGCAAAGACAAGGAGAAAAATGTGATCTATCTATCTATCTATCTATCTATCTATCTATCTATCTATCTATCTATCTAATTTTTATTAAAAGTTTTAAACACAATAATAAGAGAAATGTGATCTCAATATTATGTCTGGCCCATGCTACCACTTATCTCAGCAACCTTGCTGGCAAATTACTGGGGGTGTGGAGGGTTTCACACACTGCTCCTTTCCTTCTTCTTCCCTCCTTCTCAGTTTCCATGGGTATGGTGAGGTTTAGCAGATGAGTAACCACATTAGGTTTACTATTCTTAGCTGAATCCCACTCGCTTGTGCTGAAATCTTGTGCCAGGCAACCTCAACACTGTGGATAATCAATTTGTAAAGCAAGATTGTGCATGTTGTCCACAACTACACCGCTGCATGTTTATCAGTTTTACTTGCATAGAGACTACCTAAAAGAAAAATGAAAGCAGACTACAGATTGTACAAACATAATCTCCAGGTGTATATCTTATATATGCATTAGCTGTCTATTGAAATGCTGATAAACTCATGGAGGGACGACGAAAGCTCTCTTATACCAGGTCTGATTATTTGTCCTCCTATCCCAGTGTTGGCTACGCTGACTGGTTCTCCAGGGTGTCAAGCAATGAAGGACTTTCCCATCACCAGCTTGCTAGGTTTAAACCTAAGATCTTTTGAATGCAAGGCTGCACTCTCTCCTTCTGCTGTAGGCTCCTGATTTTTATTTTTATTTTTTCCTTCTCTGAACGAAACTTCCCACCCCAACCCATCCCCTTTTCTGGACTCTCTCCCTCCCTCCCTTCCTTCCTTCCTTTTTTTTTCTTTTTTAAAATTTCTTCTGATGGTGCTTTCTCAGTAATCTTATTGGGAGATGGTAGAGGGTTTGGATTTTTTTCCCCAGTTTTATGTCTCTAACTCTGCAGTCTCTCTCGCTTTTCTTGCTTCCTGATCTGAAAAAGCTCTATGGGGAGATTTCTCTCCTGATATTTTCCTTTAGGATTTAACTGAAGTGTAGGAAGCTGGGAAGCCCCCAACGAATTTTAAGATGAAAGAAAAGATGCTTGAACATACCTCTCAGGCACCTCCTAACTAAGCAAGTTCAGGAACACCAGATTTTTCATCTCCTTTGAAAAGAATTAAAGGAGAGAATTCCAACACAGCAGCAGTCATGAATATAGAACAGCATGAAGCTGTACATACATTGAGAGATAGAAATGACCTTGTTGATGTGCATTTGTCTCTGAAATGTCGTTCTATTTCCTTTTCCCTTTAGGCATCCTCTTTTCCCCCTCCTGACACTGCTATTTGAGAAATGCGAGCAGGCAACACAGGGCTCGGAATGCATCACTTCTGCCAGCTTTGATGTTGACATTGAGAACTTCGTACACCAGCAAGAACAGGAGCACAAACCATTCTTCAGTGATGATCCTGAGCTGGACAACTTGGTAATTCTTTCACCTGAACCCTTTTATCTCATAAATATATTCTTTGAACTCCAAAATTAGTGTCTGCATCACATCCACCTCGCTGCACATTGGCCTTCATATTGAAAGCATCTCAGCCTGACCCAACCACAAGGAAACCCAGGTTCTGCTTCCTCAGTAAATTAGGCCAACCTATCCTTAACAGCCCAGTTAAGGATAGGTTGGACCAACAGATAGTAAATGGCCAAATTCATCCAGCAACTTTCCATGGATGAGCTTCTTTGCAGTCCTAGGAGACTGGAAATTTAAGCCTTCCCATCTAAGCCACTAGCTTTGTAGATTCAACTCCCCTCAAGTGTGGGTTTTGAATTCTTTTACTGAAGGAAGGTGAGTTATAAATCTGTCTTCCCCAACTTGATGCCCTCCAAATGTATTGGGAGGACATTTTCCAGAGTTCCTGATAGCTGCTTGAGAAATTCTGGGAGCTGTTGCCTCTACACCTCTGGACATACTACAGAAACAAATCAGTTCAGAACCTAAGAAATGCCACATCGTTTCCCTTAGTGATGGCATTCCCTGCATCTTAACAGAACAGTACAATCTGATTGGCATAATTAGTGGATAGTTATCTCCTTTAGGTCTTCATTATGCAAATCCACGTATTGCGATTGGGCAGCCCCATTATTATTCAAACAGAGCATGCTGCTTCGAGTCACTCTAACATGGTTTTAGCTCAGACCCTGCACTGCAAATATGCTGCTAATTAGCCTAACAGGAGTACCAGAAGCCCATCTTTTGACCCATTCCTATACTTTTAGGATCTGATAGCAGAATTCCCACATTGGCTTCTATTTAGGACATGGAATTCCCCCCCCAAAAAAAATCTGAAGTAGATTTATAATATACCATATGGGATTTACAAACCATTGGATATATAGCTTTCAAGATTTTTCAGATAATTTATCCTTCTTTCCAAATGCCTGCGCCAATGTTTCCCCAACTGATGTACATGAAATGTACTGGGACTACAACTCCCAGAATTCGCAACCAGCATGGCCACTGTAGTGGCTATGTATCACAAGAGACTGGGGTTTTCTAGCCTAGAAAATCTGCATACACTTCCTATCATTCATGTTTGATTTGTTTGTATATCTCCTGACCTCAAAAAACAAAGTGGCCTAACTAATATATATTTAGTTATATTAGCCAATACAAGAGTCTGTATCAAAGAATATACAGTATATACATATTGACTCCTATTAGCTCAAAGGAATTTTTATAGGTCCATAGATGAAGCCATGTTGGATCAGAGTAAATGCTGATATTGTTCAGCATCCTGATTCTCAGCATGGAAGCTATAGAAGTAACAGACTTTTTTCACTGCTTCATCCCAGCCACTAGTATTTAGATATATAACTTTGAATGTAGCCATTGTGCTTATCATTGTTATTTATTATATTTAATTTAAAATAAACAGTTTTTCATGCATTGTATCTTCAGGCACTTTAAATCATACTTCTGTTTCAGTTCAACAAATAAATAGTATAAAAAGCATGTACAATATAATATTATAAAATAGTACAGTGATATATAAAAAAGAATAATAAAAGATATAAAACATATTATAGCAGTGGCCATAATTAGTTTGGCTGTACCATGAAGGACTCTAATATGCAGAGTGAATAAAAATCTTTTCAGCTCATACCTAAACTGTATCACAGTTAGATCATGCTTTATTTCTAAAGGTAGGACATTCAAGGCAATGGGCACCACACCAAAAAGCCCTCTTTCTGGTTGCTGGCAAATGAAAATCAACAGGATATGGAGCAACCAGAAGAGCTTCTGATGATGACTGCTGTGGCCAGGTAGCTTTATATGGAACATTCTCTCAGAGATCTTGATCCCAAATTGTGTAGATGTTTCTAAGCCATCATTCTACAGACTTTTAAAGCCTTCTGTGGTGATTATTTTCACCATAATTTGGGTATGATGGACAGCATGTGGTCTTCCACCAATCAGCCTGTCCAATGATAGCAGCAGTCCTACAATCTGGATGGCCACAAATTGCCCATCCCTTTGGTCTATGGATATCACCATATTCCAGTTGTTTGAACATAAACTGCACAAGTTACAAGGGATCATCACTCATGCTATCTCTCATTCCAAGCTGGTGGGGTGTGGACAAACAAGATAGATGGGAGCTTACTGTTGGTAATAATGGAATATAGAAGAAAATGTCAATACAGCACTAATATGGGGAGTCCTTGGGATTCTCTGAGCTTGGTTGCTTTATTGCAGACGTTTCATTACCCAGCTAGGTAACATCTTCAGTGCTAAAGGGAGTGGGGTTTGCTCTTTGTTTATATAAAGTAGCTTGTCCTGTCAGTGTTGGTGGGGGTGTTGTTTTCTCCTTGGTAGTTCCTTGATTAGGCTATTGTTTACAATACCCTAATCAAGAAACTACCGACTCAGACAGACAAACAGTAAACAACAGCCTAATCAAGGAACTACCAAGGAGAAAACAACACCCCTACCAACACTGACAGGGCAAGCTAC